GACTACATCAAACAAAAAGCTTCTGCACAGCAAAAGAAACTATCATTAAAACATACTGAATAGAGAAAATATTTGCACATGATACATCTGACAAGGGGCTAATATCCAAGATCTACAAAAAACTCATACAACTCAACAAAAAAACCAAATAAGCCAATCAAAGAGTGATGATTTCATTAATATGTTGAATATAGAGAAATCTAGGAACAGACAGAACTAAACCAAAACAAACCCTAGAAATCTGACTATAGAATTAAGGATACCACAGGGGCAGAAAGAGGATAAAGAGTAAAGGGTAGAAGGGATCAAGTGGTCTATGGTGGAATACTATGGATGCATTGGTAGTAGGTGTGGTGTGGTAACATACATCTGAAGAGGTGTGAATCTTTACTTCTGAGTTAACATACCCCATGTTGTAAACCAATGTTACCTTAAAAAGATACAAAAAAGAAGTAAAATTGTGATTCTGGACAGATTTTTTTTCTTTTAATTATTATTTTTTAAAGATTTTATTTATTTATACAAGCACTGGGCACAGTCAGAAGCGCAGAGGGTGAGAGAATTCACCAGAGCCAGAGGGGAGAGCAGAGCAGACAGACTAACGAAGTACACTGCTGAGGGGAGCAGCGGGCGGCACGAGAGGTCTGCGCACCACGTGGGACCCTCGCCCGGCAGCCGGGGATCGAATCGGCGCTGCAGAGGCTGCGGGCAGCTTCTCAGCCCAGCTCTCAAACGCTGCGCCACAGGGGAGGTCCTCTTTTAATTATTTTTAATAGACTTAATTTTTTAAAGGATTTATTTATGCATACAAGAGCAGGGATGCAGGCCAGAGATGCAGGGGGTGAGAGGCTTCACCAGAGACAGAATGGGGAGCAGAACAGGCAGACTGACCGAAGGGAGGGGACTGCAGAGGGGAGCAGCAGGCGAGATAGGAGCAGTCTGCTGTGCAATGTGGGTTGCTCCCTGGCCGGCGGGTATTGAACTCATGCTGCAGAGGCTGAGGATTGCTTCATAGTGCAGTGCTTAACCTCCTGCGCCACCAGGGAGGCCCAATAGACTTAATTTTTTAAAGAGCAGAATTAGACTCAAAGCATCCTGTTTGTTTGTTTGTTTGTTTTTGCTTCAGCTAAGATAGCAGAAGGGAATGATTTATTGTACCCGTGTTACATTCAGCCATGACTGAGAAGGTCCAGAAGGTCACACACAAAAGTCCAGGGCAAAAGACAAAAAGGGATTGCTTTGGTACGAGCAAGATGGGTCTCTCAAAGGTGGTCGCTGTGATGAGATGGTATTGGGTGTTTAGGTCCACTGAGACAAGTTCCAGAGAGTAGCATTCGGTCCAAAAATTTGTACCAGCATCTCTGGCTTCTGGCTTTCCTTTTTTTCTGTTTCTGTGGCTTCCACGGCTACCACGGTTGCTACCTTACTTGGACCCCTGCCTCATCTTTCTTTTTTATCAGCTTCAGTCTGCGTATTCACTTCTTTCTCCACGCTGCTTTCATAGCTCAGCGGCTTCCGAGAAGATGATGCTAAGGCCGAGAGAGGAGCAGCTTTTTATTTTTTTAATTTGTTTTTTAGTGTGGTTGTTTCTGAAGGGCAAATTCTTAGCTAGTACTTGGTGCGGAGGAGGGCAGCCTGCTCCGACCAAGGTGGAAAGTCGGTTACTCCCCCTCCCAGCGCCGAACAGGTAACAAGCAAAGGCACAATGAAATGCCGACATCGAGAATACCGCCCCAGGAGCCAGCCTTCACATTCGCCCTAGCTTCCTTGTCGCAAATGCAGGAGGCAGAAACTCCCGACTCCTGCTGACTTTCCTTCTCCGCGAGCCGCCTGAGGTCTGGATCTCTTCCTGATTTTGTGGCCGCCGTTGCATCCTTTCCGGGTTTCCCGGCTCACCGCCCCTCCCGTCCCTCAGAATAAATTTATTAAAATATGATTAAAACCTTTATGGAGAAAATTATAAATATTGAAGGATAAAAAACTGTTGGGGTATTTGTTTTTATGAATGGAAAATCTGCTGAATACTATAAATATTAGGGTAAGAGGTCTCTACTGCACTCTTTCAACCCCTTCATGCCTCCAGTAGGGGTAGCACAACTACTTGTGGTAAATCCAAGAAGATTAACCTGGGCAGGTTTTACTCCAGTCTTTCCTCTTGGGAAAGAGCTTATTGCTGGGCCAATAAATTCTTCTGCTATAGGAGAAGTTTTCCACGCATGTGGGAAGGCCTCAGATAAGTATTTCCTGTTATTGGGTGATCATGATTGTTTATTTCTGGAATCCGTTAGCATGCCCATTTGGCATTCTCATTAAGCTAAGCAAATATTTTCACTTCTCTATCTGCTACTGTATATTTCTCAATTTGTTCAGATGTTAGGTGAACAGAAACTTTTTTGACCCCTTCAAAGATTTCAACAGAAAAGGTGGCAAATTTCTTCCAAAATTAACTTATGAATTCAATGTGATTCCAATTAAAATATGAACAAGAGTCTCACATAACTTGAGCAGTTGTTTCCTAAAATTCATAAGTGTAAAGGGTCAAGAATAGTCAAGACAGTAAAACAAGAAAAAAAGGTGGGGGAGAAATAATTAGAGGCACTTACTTTACCAGACAACAAGACTTAATATAAAACCTGTAATTAACATACAAATACTGGTTCAGTGATAGACAAGTAAGTCTGAAATAGGTCCTGAAAAAGACCCTCTTATATATGATAATGGCAGTTTGTTTTATAATTAGTTGGAAACAGATACTAGCCAATGAATTGTAGTTAGGTAACTATGCATATGGAAATAGAAAAAAAATTCTCAAATTATATAAAAATGAGTTACATACAATTAAATTAACTAATAAATTAGAATGGTACATACTCACCGGATTGCCATAAACTGTAAGCTCTCTGAGAGAAGAAATAACATCAAGTTTTTCCAGTTCTGCCATATCCTATTCAAAAGTTTAACAAGTTATTTTCTTTTTGTTAGTTTCAAAATTTTCAAGTATAGGCTAATTTGAAATAATTATCAGTATTGTTGATTAGAGACAGATCTGTGTACTGAAGATTTTAAAAGCATGTTTGGCAAAGATGACATTCTAACATGGGCTATATGGCAGCAATTATAAGATCAAACTTCTTTTTTTTCCCAGAAAAACTATGATCTATTCGAGGATATAGATTATACTTGGTTAACTTCCCCGAAGATTGACTCAGAAGTGTGAAAAAGAAGGTGAATCCAGTCTACAAACAAATTTCAAAGATACATTTTAAACACAATCTTAGCCAAAAAGGAGCATATTATTTTTTATTACCTATTTATCATTAGTGAAGATTTAAAATTATTTCTAAAATGCTATTTCTGATAAAATTTAGGCAGCAAGTTCAGGTTATTGCTAGTTCATATTAACAAAGCAAATTTAGTGATGTGTTCTTTTTTAAAATGTAACCATTAGGAACCTTTTTTTTAATGAAGTAACATTGATTTCAAACACTGTATAACTTGAAGGAGTATAGCTTCTAATCCATTCAAATGTATGATACTACACTACACTCACCACCAAACTTTTAAAAACCCTCTACACCTCCCTCCAATTGGTCCCTTCTATCTGTTCCTCCCACTTTCCATCCCCTTAGATAATCATCATTTTGTTGTCAGAGGATTGTTTTTGTTTGTTCTTTTGCTTTGTTTCTTTAATATTCCACATATGAATGAAATCATGTATTTGTCTGTGACTTTATGCTAAGTGAATTATGCCCCTATATTTATTTGGAATGACAAGTAGACATATAGCCAATTTATCCAATAACTAAAAGATTTTAAACCTATTTTAGATCATTTGTAAGTAGAATTTGATGTTTAATGTGATTGATTTTTACTATTTTGATTTTGGAATTATCATTAGACTTTACAAAGCTCTAATAGTCATCTATAAAGACATTATACACCTTGACCCCTAGGCAGTTCCTATAACCTTGTAGTCTAAATAGAAAGCATGGAAATGTTAAAAGTCTTATATTATTTTCTCAAATTAAACAGGGTTTAAGTTCATTAGTAAAATTTTTTTTTTTTTTTTTTAAAGATTTATTTATTTATTTATACAAGCACTGGGTAGAGTCAGAAGCGCGGGTGGGTGAGAGAATTCACCAGAGCCAGAGCAGAGAGCAGAACAGGCAGACCAATGAAATACACTGCTGAGGGGAGCAGCGGGTGGCAGGAGAGGTCTGCACCATGTGGGACCCTCCCCCAAGAGGCCGGGGATCGAACTGGTGCTGCAGAGGCTGCAGGGCAGCTTCGCAACTCAGTGCTCAACCGCTGCGCCACAGGGGGAGGCCCAGTAAAATATTTCTGATCAAAATGTTTCTCACAGAAAATGTAAATATGAGAGCATGCTAAATTTGTGGATGATAATGCTGGTAAAAATTTTTGTAGAGTCATCAAGAAAAGTAGCATGTCATAATAGGGGGAAAAGTACTTATGGCTTCCCATTTTTACTATACAGTTCATTTTGTTGTTGTTTTCATTTTTTGTTTGTTTGTTTGTTTTTTAACAGTGATATGGTGTTACCTCATACTGGTTCAAAAAAGCTGATTGGCAAATTTTCAGGAATTTTGTGAGATGGTGTTTTAGCTTGAAATTGGTTATAGTAGAAGAAATTATGTTTTGGAAATGGGCAAATGCTGTTGATTAAGGACTTTTTTCCCCTGAAGAGCCATCTGTTAAACATTAATCAGTACACCAATGGTTGTTACCTCTGAGTACATTGTCAAGAGAAGAACTTAGGAGAGTCATTGTAATATTAATAGTTGGGGCATTTCATTTAGGAGAAAAAGTAGCAAGCAACTATTTCAATTTTGAAAATGGCCCCAGGTCATGTCATTACTGAGTTATTTGAAAGTAGAGTTGGTGGATGCCAGATAGGGGAATCATTTAGACACAGGAAACAAATGGAACTGCAAAACTTAATAACTCACTTTTCAATTGTGTTTCTGTGATTCTTCCTGCAGAAGACAACAGTTTTCCATATCTATAGTATTGGTCATGATGGCTAAAGTCAAAAGCGTCACAGTGGAATCTGTTATTAAGGATATGCAGCTTATGAAAGACTCTAAGGTAGGTCAATGAGGTATTATAAATACCTTCATTAGGAGTGTTGTCTTGCTAATTTTTTTAATGCCTCCTAACCTATAAATTATTTGGAACCCAAAAGGTTACTTGTAATCAGTTGTGGAAATTAATGCTACTATCAGCCTTCCCATGTTGGTATGACTCTAGAGAGAAAATCTTTTCCAAAAAGAAAATTTGAAATGAGAACTAAGAATTTTGAAGAACAATGTCTTCAGCAGAATCAAACAGTATCTCCAGCCTAACCTAATCCTTCTAAGTTCATTTTCCCTGCTAGCTGTATGATCATATTAAGCCACTATAATTTTAATGGTTGGAATAAGTTTGATGGTAAAATGATTTATCTAAATTCAATGAAAAATGTCATTTCAAGGGTAAAAATAAACCAAGATGGTCTGATCATTAAATAGTCAATAACCTTGCATTCAATGATATATGTATACTCTCCCATGATTTAGGGTTGTCCTTTGGCTATATTAAATTTTGAAAGCAAATAAACTTGACTAGGTCTTATCCTGTTTAAGTTACTAGGATAGGAAATAGCTATATCAGCTGATTGCCATCCATTCACTTCCTTTAGGAGAGAGAACAGAGGGGATACAGAGCAGGACACTCCTGGGGAAGTAGGTTCCTAGTCTGTTTCCTTTTAAGTATGCTGGTAACTTGGTGTTCTGTTAAAATACATTTGCTATGAAGCAAGTCCTTATTTATGAGATACTATAAGCAGGATCTCCCTGGTTAAGGATTTCTTACAGTAAATAAACCTAGACTTTAAGGAATGGCTCCCTATAAAATGTCACATAAGCTTAAGTATAAAATAGAGATATTTCATAAATGAAACACTTGATTTATGAGATCACCGCCACAAAATTTTACTTGGAGAGCTCATATTTTTATCTAGGTTAGACAGTGTCCTCGTATCCTCAAAATAATTAGTAAAGCTTGATACCAGGCAAGATCTGATTTGATAACCCTGTATTCGTTCGGTTGTGATCACTGGAAAGATTTCTAATAGGATATCAATTTTCCTAATTTAGATTTCTACCAGATAAGTCTTTTCTCAGATGAATGTTGTCTGAACCTGGATAGATTAGTTGTATGTCATTTTTCTCTATCTGTATGTATATTTCCCAATTTGTACATAGGAAAGGATATTACTCATGATTTCCCTCTCTCCTTGTACAGGCTTTTATATCACACCAGAAAAGGTTTCCTGAACTCTAGCAAGTGGAGCCACAAACAAATATTGATAGAGTATCAACTATATACCAGGTACTATATTATATGCTGATACAAGTGTGGATAAGATAAACTCCATCCTTGCCTTTGGAGGGCAGGCCATAGCTCAGGTTGTCTTTGAGACTGTTTTAAAGGTATGGGCAGACATAGTAAAGCTGGTAAAAAGAGGGCTATGAGATTATTACCAAAACACTGAGAGACATGTTAGGACTGCAGAAGGTTATGTATACATCAATCCTCTTATCTATATACTACTCTGGGAGAGAGACTAGGCAGGCTCTGTGGAGCAGTAGTTTAATAGAAATTGTTTGAATTCTGAGCAGGTAAGGATCTTAAAACTTAAGATCCTATCTAAGGAAGGCTTGAGTGGGGAGAGATGGAATATTGAAACTAAGTCGCAGTCCATTATCCAGAGTTGATTTAAATGTCAGACCAAATACCAATGTCAAATTTAAAAGGCCCGAGAAAGTCTGGGGTTGAGATACAGCTGCTTGGATCTAGAGTAATCAGGACAAATGATGTCTATTAAAAAGGACTGCTAAGGAAAGCCTTAAGACATTTAGAGCTAATCTTTATTAGCAGATTATTTGGGTTTATAAGTCTAGAAGCAGGATAGACATCTTTGTACCACTTAATATTTATATGGCATATAAATAATAAGAAACACCTAGCAAAAATTTTATTGGGGTGTTTGGAAGCATTATGTTCAGATGAAATAGAGAGTAAGTCTCATAACAAAAAAAAAATGTTACCTGTATTTTATTATATCCTAAGAAGAGTTTCTCTAGTTTTACCAAAGGTTGTAATTTGCTCAGCTCTCGTAGTCTGTTTTCCTCCAGGTGAAGTGCCAGCAGAGAGCTTGGTTTGGCAAAGGCACTTTCATTAAATGCTCTGATGCGGTTGTGGTCCACTACCAACTCCTGAAGGACTACTAAATTGTCAAGTCCTTCAATTTGACTGATTTCATTCCCTGAAAAAAGATAACTCATGATTTGTCAAGTGAGCCCAAACTTTTTGAATGAAAGGTTACTTATTTTCATTTATATTTTGTATCAAATGATTTTTTTAAAAAAGGATTATAAATAACATTTTCAAGGATAAGTGAAAATAAAATTTACAGGAAAGTAGCATCATCATCAAATAATATTTATGAAAATTTCTCCTTTATCTTTTAAGGAGTAAGATGATGTACAAAATGTACTGAATTGATCAGATCTGTCTATTCAGTGATAAAGCTCTAAAATAATTGTTCATGACAAAAGTAAGTGTATGAAAGTACTGCAAAAGATATGCTTCCAGTATATTGGATTATTCTAATAGCTATTCTGATAGGTAAATCTAATTATTTCTTAAAATAAACCACTTAATAAGTTGTAACAATATATCTTAATTATACTGTTATTTCTTTTTCAATATATTTTTGTACTCAACATTAAGCAAATAGAATTAATTACATTCTTTTCTTTTAAGATTTATTTATTTATACAAGTACTGGAGTACAGTTAGAGGCGCAGGAGGGTGAGAGAATTCACCAGAGACAGAGCAGGGAACAGAACAGGCAGACTGACCGAACTACACTGCTGAGGGGTGCAGCAGGCAAGGCAGTGGAGGTTCTGCCCTGCCATGTGGGTTTCTCCCTGGCCGACTGGGATCGAACTGGTGCTGAGAGGCTGCGGACAGCTTCACAGTGCAGTGCTCAACCTGCTGCGCCACAGGGGAGGCCCAAATTCATTACATCCTTTAAAACCTCAGTCTTTTCTTGTCCAACAGTCATTGTCCAACAGTGATGATTGGCAGCCACCATGGGTTTGGGAATAAATGTCACTCACAATTTCCAACTTTTGGAAGAACTCAAAGAAGGCCAAAAAGGAGTAGGAGGTGGGATGGTTAGTAGGAGGTTGGATGGCTAGATGGTGTCTACAAGATGATGAAGACATGACACAAGTTGGACATGATAATTGGGTCTCCAATAATAATTTATGAAAACTGAATATATAGTTTTAAAATAGAATGTGGGCCTAAATACCCAGAAACACCTCCCTTTGTAAGATGTTTAACAAAAATTAACATGGAGTTAATAGTTCTAATGGAGGGGGGATCAACCAGCTGCTAACATCTTGGTCTTGGACTTCTAGTCTCTAGAACTTTGAGGAAGTATATTTCTGTATCTAGTCTGTGGCATTTTGTTGGCAGTCCTAGCAAACTAATGTACTATTGAACATGTGGCTCCTGTGATCTTGGAATTTATCATATTTCAGTGAATTCAAGACATAAACAATTGTTAAGCTTTGCAAATACTTTATAACAAAAATAAAGAAAAAATACTTGTCTAGATAAATGACGACATGTCATCTATTAAGAAACAACCAGATTTCAGACTTGTTAAAATATAAAATATAGGTTAATTGATTGATTAAATATGATTGAATTGATTAAATATGGCAAATATATTTTGTTTTCTACTTTTATAGAGAAGATGATAATATAACAACTTACAATAAAAATGCTCACAGTACTAGGCCTCCCTGGTGACGAAAGGGTAAAGACACAACCCATGAAGCTAGCTGCAGTCACTGCAGCACTAGGTCGATGCCCGGCCAGGGAGCTACCCACATGGCGTAGCAGACCTCTCCTGATTCACCCACTACTCCCCTCAGCAGTGTGTTTCAGTCAATCTGCCTGTTTTGTTCCCGACTGTCTCTGGTGAATTCTCTCACCCTCCCCCGCTACACCTCTGGCCTGCACCCCAGTTCTTATATGCATAAATAAATAAATCTTTTTAAAAATTGCTCACTACTAAAAGTTTCACAGACTTTGAAACACTATCCATGCTTTGCTTATAAATGAAAAAGAAAGTTTATTCAAGTCAGATTGAGAAAAATTACTCTGTTGTGCGAATATATTAGTTTCATGAAATTATAAATTTAGATTCACTTTTAATATTTTAAGTACAGTGGTATAAAAATCACATGAGATAGCTTCAAGTGATGAATGTCTATAGTAGCTATTATGAGTCTTACAGTTCTATATCTAAGAGCATTTACCACTGTGTAAAAAGCTCCTACTTATTTAGCTATATAGATAAACACACTGTCCAATGTCTCAGTTAATGGCAGTCATTATTGTCAGAATAAATGTCCTCACTTCCTGCATAAGGCTGTCCTACTCTCATTAATCATGCTAGCCATGGCAACAAAACACTTTACACCATTAGATTAAAGTAGACCTTAGATTAGGTTGTCTGATGTTTTTGTATGTCAATATATTATCTAAAAGATCTGTGGTTGCTATGTTCAATTTCTTGTTCTCTTAAGGCAAAATATTTATGTTTTTGACCTAACTCTCACACAACTTTGATAGAAAAAAGATGCATTAAAAAATTAAATATGGTATAAAAGTCTGTCTTAGAAAAAGTTACTCTACTCTAATTGACTATATAGATCTCTCTCCACGTTTCACTGATGGATCTCCTAGTCATTAAGTGATTGTCATATTATTGTTCCAAATCCTACTTTTTCTCATGGTACTTTTCTAATAATTTGCAATTCCTACCTATTGTCAACTGAGCAAAATGAGCATTATTCATCAAATTGATAATGTTTAGAGGTTTTATAATTTATGACTCTGTCTATAACTGCATACTTTCTTTTCTCTTCAGCTTGGTCCCTTTTCAAGTAGACCCCATAGTTGTGGTCTTGTGATTCATTACCTCCTCCCTACTACTTTCAAACTTCTCTGTCATGCTCACTTCTGATCTAAATTCTATGAGTCTTTCAATGACTCCTAGATATGTAGAGGGGTTAATATTTCAATTTCTTTTTTACTCTAAACATCACTTGCATTTGTTAACACATGGCATTTAATTCATCTTTGTTTCAATATATTTCTGCAGGCAGATCCTAAACTATTTTAAGGCAAGGATCTCAATTATATATAATTACAATAATAAAGTATCTCTGTATCTTTCATAGTACTTAGCACAATTCTGGGTTTAATAAGTGCTTGTGAATTATCCACTGGTTACTTTTTATTCTTTTTTATTGAAGATGATATAAAAGTAAATTATGATATAATACTGTACTCAGCTCTAGAATGCTGCATTTCCTAGAATATTTCCATTATTTATGTAAACAAAACCCATTGGTTGTTACTAAAATATTTTGGGGGGTTAAGTGAATCCATTTTAAGTAAAACTTGATGTTAGATCTGCTTACCTAAAGTGAATAAGAAATCAGCTTTTAATAATAATGATTTACACATTCATAGTATAGCTACTCACCTTGTAGAAATAGAAATTTTAGATTTCTTAGCCTGTTGAGTTGTAGTTGAATTAAATTACAAATTCCATTGTAGCCCAAATGAAGAACTTCCAAACTGAGCATTATTGGAGGCAAATTTTCATTGTTCATTATATCTCTAAAACACACAGATAAGTTTGAACCCTTAAACAAAATTCCAAGCCATCTGTATCATAAAAAGATAGTCTGATTTGTACTACTATAAATTCAATTTAATAAAAAGAAAACTGATGAATTTACAAGTACAACAGAATTAAAGTATAGCATGTTTTCTCTTTATAGCTTATAATCATATTTTATTCTTTAAAATATTTTTATATGATAAAGAATAAAATGTACAGAAAGAGTTACTTAAAATGTAAAGCAAGAGCAAGTGTAGCCAAGCAAGAAAAAGGAAAATAAAGTATTGGAATTATTTTCAGATTGGAAAAGAATAAGTAAATCTGTCTTTATTTTCAGATGATATAATTTCATATTTAGAAAATTCTAAGAAATATGCCCAAAAAAGACTTAATAAGGATAATAAATGAGTTCAGCAAGATTACAGGATAAAAGATTAACATACAAAAATCAACTGAATTTCTAGATATCAGCAATAAATTGAGAAATAAGAATTCTATTCATATAGTATGTAAAGATAAAATACTTCAGAAAAATAAAACAGAAGCAGTAGAATGTTCCACAGAGTAATAAAAAACATTGCTGAGATTAATTAAAGAAGATCTAAATAAGTAC